CCCCCCCCCCCCCCTTGAAGCTATATTTTTACGTGCGTACCGTATTCTTTCGATTAAACGCCCCAGCGTTTATTTAAAAATCGCCAGTTTAGACCAGGCGTTTTTTCGAGGCCGGCGTTTAATAGAGAAAATACGGTACGTGCGTAAAATGTACGTTCACAAATAAAATAGAGACAATGCACAAAAGGTCGCAAGTATAGCGTAAAAGTTGATCTTCGCTCAACTCAGTCTCGTTTAAGCTCAACACGTTTTATCTTGCCTCTATCTTATTATAACGTGATTAAAATTTGCGCGCGTGCAAAACACACGTAAAAATTACGCGGCAATGGAAATCCACTCTAAGACCTCTAAGGCTTAGAACAATCAGTATGTGGTTGGAATAAAACGATTAACGCTTTTTGATTTTAAAACTTTGCCTATTTTGCTGACTCGAGGTCGAGGTCGCTTTTCGTTGTTCCTTTGACTCATTTTATGTTTTAGTTAGAGGAAAATAATACCGAGAGAAAGGAAAAAAAAGGACAATGGCACCGACCAAATGTTCCCGACAGAGTTAATTGAAGGGTATGAAAAGAATCACATTCCTGACTTGCCAAATTTTGCATATCATCTCCAACTGAAGGCTTGCTTGCTTTCTTGTTGTTACTAGGTCAATGTTTTTGTCTTTACTAAAAAACAAGTGAAATCCCTTTTTCCTTTTTTTTAAAATTATTGTCGTTTGATTATCATTTATCTTATCGCCTCTCCTCGTGAAAGGCGGAATCACGCGCACTGACTTTCATCCTTCCCAGCTTTGAAAATTAAGTGTATACAATCGTAGCATGACTATTTTATCCAGGGGTTCAGCAAGGCAGGTTATAAAGTTGTTAAGCCTCCTTCACTGAGTGTTCTTGACAGTGGGAGTTTAATTTAGTTTTGGAAACTAATAAGCGAAAAAAAACGAGTGACCATGAGTTATTTAAGCAATAGACCACACTTTCCATGGGTTTGCCGGCGTGATAACCCACGCAGGACGTTGGGAGAACACGAGAAAAGCTTGTAAATCACGAGCCGAAGTGATTTACAAGCTTTTCGAGTGTTCTCCCAACATCCCGTGTGGGTTATCACGCCGGTAAACCCATAGAAAGTGTGGTCTATTGCTTTTATAAAATAACTTTAAGTTTTCTATGAGTTTACCGGCACCATAAACCAAAGGTTTTTAACCAATCAGAACGCGCGTACTATCTTAGATAGTTTATAACAATATATATAATACCATTAATGACTCTTGTGAAAATTGTTCGGAGAAAAAATCAGAAAATAAAACGCCATACGGTACACGTTTAGACTGGCTCAAAGAGTGCTTAGTCAAAAATGAAAAATCTTGGCGGAATTCTTGCGAAAGAATTATTCAAATTCCTACTCACTGAAGTATTCAAAATTGTTAACATTTGTACAATGATATTGTGCACAGTTAGAAACACAGTTGATTACACCTGCTTGAAAAAACGTTGTCCCTTAAAAAGTATAAAACATGAACGATGTGACCTAATGGATTTATGGGCCGAACTTTACTGCAAATTTAACGTACGCTCTTTCCAGACAAGTTTTCACTGTTTGCTTTTCCAATGTCGAATATACCCATAAATCCTCGAAGCCTCATCAACCGGTGCACGGCGTACACGTGACCCCCATACTCGTGATATCGGGAGGAAGGAGTCATTGATGTTATTCATCTTCGGTTAAGTGTCGACTTCTCTCTCTCTCTCCGTGTTTATAGGCTATCGTTGATACTTAGAGTTTCGCCTCATGGAGGGAATCCAAGACAGTCTTGGATTCTGGATTCCACACCCTGGATTCAGGATTCCAGGTACAGGATTCCAGTCTTTATCAGTGGAAGTTGCATTCAGGCTTCCAATCGTTAGTAATATTCCGGATTCATTGAGCTGTATTCTCGATTACAAAACCCCGAATTCCGGATTCTATGAGCAAGAATTTCCCGGATACCGGATTCCATGAGCAAGAATTTCCCGGATACCTGATTCCACAGGCAAAAATTTCCCGGATTCAAGAATCAGGATTCCCTTACATTTGGGCGATGAAGTTTCAGACCCCTTCTGCAATTCTTGCAAGAAATCCAAGCACTGCACTCTTCCCCGCTCCCCTCCCCCCACCCCCCCCCCTCCCCCCCCCCCCCTCCCCCTTCTCTTCCCTGGTTCTACCATCCTGCAAAGTTTGAGCATAAACGAATAAAAAACGCAAATGTAGTTCAAGGTTGCAGCTATTTGCGTCCTATGGGCCCAGCGTGAAAAAGGCGCTTCGCCTTTGGCCTTGGCTAAATCGATGGATTATTCATCTTCACCATTCAATATCTTATACACGCATTTCTGAATTGGCACCTGTCTATTAGTGACAGTTTGCGTTTGACTTATCTTAACATTTACCTAGGGTCTTTATGCTTTCTAACTGAGGAAAAATGAAAAATTGAAACTGAAATTGAAAATTATACATCACTGTTTTATTACAAATACACCATTTACGCCGTGCCAACTTAACAAATTATAAAGAGTTTTTATATTACGGAAATAACCGTCGTTCATGCTGCACAAATGAATTTTCACACGCTTCGTAACAGCTTTACCTTTATCAATAATTTAAGTAGGCTTTCTTTACTGAAGGGAGATAAGGCTGAATACGATAATGGTTGGCTATACTTTGGAAAGTTATTAGCTTTCAATTGAGATATATTGAATTTGGTATTGGCTGTTTCGAAGGTGGAAAATTTAAATGTCGAAACTTGCAACGATTTTCTATGCTTCATAGGTGCCTTTAAAAAGTCCCTTTCCATCACACAAGTTTTTTCTCTTTGCCTTACTGTCCTGAATTGAAAAGATGATATACCTTAGTGAATTTCCTTCGAATCTGAAAATAGGTAAAGACCTCCTGAACTAAGTTTTTTTTCGTAAGTACACGATGTAGAAGTTATCGACTAGGGACTCCCTTTTGGAAGGTCTCGGACTCGAGTCCTTCTCTTGCCACTAGCCCAATCTGCTCCTCTGTCATCCAGATTTCATCTCTACATCTGACTCCTTGTCCCCATGGTTGTAAATAAGTGGTTGGCTCATGCCATTTGGGTCTTTTAATCCTGCTTATGATTAGTTTACGATGTATGTGGTCTAATAAATTATTTAACAGCGGCATGCCTACAACTAGATAAAGAATTTATGTATACTTGACTACCCTAAAATGAAGCGGTCACAGTTTTGTGGCTAAAGGTAAAATTTTTTTCTTTGTTATATTTGGTGACCGGAGTTTGGTTCAACTCATCCCTAAAGGGGGGTTTCCTGAAGCTCCTGAGCCTGAACCCCAACTGAGGGCTTTTTCCAAAATTTACAAAGCAAAATGGTTCGAAACTCTGCCCTAAATGACGGATTCATCCCGGCATATATGAACGGATTAATAGTGCTAGAAAAGAACAGCAGAAAAGGACATAGTAGCTGGACATTGCGTGGAACAACGGTATCAGGAGCAAAACGCTAATTATTATTATTATTGTTATTATTAATATCATTAATTCGATTTTTCTTGAGTGTAGCCCTTCGAATTCGTAGTTCTTTTAAGCGATTCCTTCACTGTGGTTCCAAAGTCTTTCGCGTAGTTCAAAGCACAAAGTGTTTTATGTTGAAGTGAGAAACCGCGGGTTGGTTTTTCGCCTGCGTTGTCTGAAGATTCTTGAACCTCGATACAGACTTTGTCGAAACCTCTTTCGCGTCCCTATGTTACCTTTTTCACAGACGTACCTTTTTTGCGTATTTCAAGGGCTCAAAAAGATATCCAAGGGTTTTAATAAAATGAAACTGTTTCATAAAGACAGGTTTAAACATGATCTTAATAGTCTCGATAGTTAGAACTGCATCATCAGTTACAAAAATGATTTCTCATAAGTACAAATTACATGTTCTTTAAAGAAAGATGCTAATTTCTTTGAGCCATAAGAAGATCCAATGCTAAGAGTTATAGCTTTTTTCTTTGGGTAGTAATGTTTAACTTGACGATCTTTCCATCTGCCTTTCGGGTCCGTGAAAACAGTATTTTCCTTTTCCGAGCACAGAAATCTTGTTCGTTGAGCTGTCTACAACCAGCTCCATGACTGACACTTTCTGTTTGCCGGGTACTGCCCTGGTACCTTTTGCATGTAGTATCAGTTTATGTGCCATCGAGTGATTAGCGGGACAGAAAAAAGGCAGAAAATAACATTTTTGTTTGCAAAACTTTGCTGCTTTCATTAACATGAACTATCGTATAAATAGAATGTCAATTAACTGTTAACTTTTCATTTCTCTGTTAACTACTAATTTTTTGGCCAATTATCAGTTACATAACTGCTGTTTTTTTGGCCAAATATCAGTTAACTGCTAACCCCACTGGCACCCTCTTTTGCTGCAAACCCTAGGAAAGTTCAGGTCGCTTCAAGGTACAGAGCGTTCAGTGTAGTTGTGATTTGTTTATTAGGATTGTTTTGGATTTTAACTTTGAATTCAAGGTGTTGACTGATCGTAATAAACTAAGTGAAATGTTTATATGAAGTATGACTATATGTTTATTCAGGTATGATATGTACAGCTATAAGCTCATATTTATAAAGCTCTCTTGAATATACTTACTTCCGATAAATCTGACACTTTCTTCAGTAATTTTTATCAGCATCATAACTTCTATGACCTTCGGATGTCCTCGCCCGGCAAAAACGATTAACCTACAAATTGATCGACCGTATTATTGGTTAAGATCTAACACGGTTGCGGTGTAGTTTCCTCCGCAGTATCAGTACCGAAAGACAAATACGGTATGCAAGAAAAACAAAGATGAATGATATTAATTTTTTTCAATATTTTGATAATTTTCTCTGTCGGTTTGCTTCTCGCTTCTATCAAAATATTTACTGTGGGAAAAATACTGCTATTATCCGCTGACAACCACGCAGGGTGACGGCTTTGCAAGTTGTGAGAACATCGTTTCTCGGTCCCAGACCTCGTGTCTCTCCCCCCCCCCCCCCCCCCCCCCCCCCCCCCTCCCCCCCCCCCCCCCCCTTTCCGCCCAAACACAAAAAAAAAAAAAAAAAAAATAAAAATTTGAGATATTTACGTGCTACATCCCCCGCGCGGACAAGAGGCGGCCCCTCGCGCGTTGGCTCGTTCGTTGTGGTCTTCTTGTTTTCCTTACTCATCTTTTTTCATCACCATCTTTCTTGTCGCATGTTT